TGCTTATTTTCGGATATTACATAAAATTTGATGGTGCTTAATTTCGGGGGGTGCTTAATTTCGGAACTATACGGTATCAGAGTTTTACCATGAAATTCCGAAAAACGGATTCCCGAAAATTAATTGTCGCGTTGCGTGATGCATAGTCAAGGTCCTCCGCATCACACAACGCGACAATTAATTTTCGGGAATCTGTTTTCGGGACTACGGTAGAGCCGAATATCAATATCGCTAAATCTTTATATGAACAGTGGATGAGTGGAATACGGTCCAAACCAATGACTATCAAAATTGGTTATGTAAGTAAATTATTGGTTCATGTATCCCAATTAGTGATGCAGGAAGAATTAATTCCACGATCTTTTAAGTCGTTTGCAGTTTTATTAAAATTATTAAAGTTTATAATTCTACAATTCAACAACTTTGTGGAATGGATTAATGCTTCTACATCACTAATATCATAACTAATAAAGTTGTCTAATACACGAAACTACAATAGACAAAGTTGATATTATGGGTCCAGGAGGTGATGTTGCTTCAATTGTTACGAATCATAATGTCTTTCAAAAACCTCAATCGGACGTCAGCCATGAAGGTAGTAATTTATTACGTTTATAAATTAATTGAATAAGGCTTCTAATGTTTTTATGGTTGCCATTTTTAAGGATTTCAATCAAATACCAGAAAATCACGTGTACATTATCCAGATAACGATAGTGATGAAGAATGAAACTTTTAAAACAAAACCATTAAATTAAAATTTGCGCTATGATTACCGATCATGGAGAGCGGTGTAACATATTGTTATGTTAAATTGACTCACTTGACCTCACGTCCCTTAAATCACATGATCGGATAAGTTAGTTAATTAATACCCATCAGTTACACAAGTTTTTATTGGATGCGATCGTTGCTGCCAGTATTATCATGTATATTCGATTGTATTATTTTATTATCCGCTCTTTATTTTTATAGAATTTTTTATATAAATAAAATATTATTTAAAGATTAGAGTTAAAATACAGGCTATAGAGTTTGAGCGTAAATTATTTGTATGATGCTAAAACCTTTTCTTAATAAACCTTTTATAATAAAATTTTGCGATATTAATAATTTTTTAATTTTTTTAAAAAAATTTCTTTATTTTGTTACACAAGATTCTGCAATCAGCTTGGTAAATCATAGGGTAGTTGATATCACCAGAGAGGCAAGTTAGCAACATCTTTTCTATTTATTTTTGTCTTATACCAAATATTAATTTACAATTTTCAAAATCTTTTATGAAGTAGTACTATAAATTCAATAATGCAAGTAATTAAAAACTTTATTCCACTCTAAATACAATACTACTGTAAGTGCATGTTTGGCTAAATTTATATACAATCTTGTTGCATTATATTTAAAGATGTTTGACTATAATGATTACTTCTTATGGTGTCTATTTTGGTCAAATTTTGAAGATGTGAAAATTTATTTATTTTTTTTTATATAACATGGTGGTCATGCCATAACTTTATTTCAGTTCTATATAATTACTACAATGATATCTTATATACAGCAAAATGCTGCTGACATTATTAAAGTGTAACTCATCTGGTTTCCAATTGGATCTATATGTAACCTGCCAAAGTAGAAGCAGTCTTCTTGCTTCATCTAGATCTAACTGCAAATTTCAAGTTTACAAATTACTAACTAGGAACTACCAGCCCATCATAACCACTCTTTTCTTTAAATTTTTTCTACCTAGATCCTGGTAGAAAGACTAGCCCCTAATCTATCTACTATAAAAGAAAATAAAAAAACAAAATAACAAAAGAGTATAAAGGAGATGAATATAAAAGAAGTAAAAAAATAAATATAGTATATGCACTAGTATAAAAAAGAAAAGACAAAGATAGAAAAAAACAAAAAAATAAAGTCAAAATCATGATTTACATATTAGAAAGAACAGAATACACTATTATAACCTGTGCAAGGCTTGTAAAAATTATATATCAAATCTAAAATTTGTATATTTTTATTAAAAAGCTTTGCCTTAATATTTAATATTTCTTTTTGATTTTATATTTAATTTCAAACTGTCACTGCATCTGTTCTAATTCATATCTCAAGCCAGGTGCTGCCACTGTTCAAGAACTCATATCTCAAGCCACATGCTACTGTTATTAGGGTTTCTAGCCTGGGACCCAGCCATATTTGGTAGCAATGTTTCAATCAATCACATAGTTGTAGTATGCTATTATTTTTCAATTTGAAATATAAACAATGCTAATTATTTGAAAAGGTTAAGCTAGATTGCTCACTTTTTGTTAAAAATTTTTGGAAAACTAGTGAGATAGCAAGAGAGAGTCTAGTCACTTGTACCGTATTACCGTGGAATAGCACACATAGGTGTTATTTCGAAAATCACATTCTCTAAAAATAGTATACTTGGCCTCAAAATAATGCCCATGTGCATCCCAAAATAGCGCGCACCTTATATAGTATACTGTATAAATGAATATATTTCTATAACTTTAAGTGTACTGAACTACAGGAAAAATTCTTAGTGCCATCTCATCTCTCCTTTTGTTACAATGCTGACCGTTTGTCATCAATTTTATAGCGAATATTTAACAGATAAGCCGGATAATATGAATCAAAATTCTTAATATTTGAATATGAAAAAACTTAAGCGTAAACTTGGATTATATAAACTAGATCGGTTCTCATAACCTGGCCGAGTCAAAATTTACAAAACTCTAAAAAAAAACTTCAAGTAAAGAGTCAATTAATACGTAATGAGGTCATGAAGCATATAAATAATATACTGCACAAGGGCAATATTTCTAAAATCTCTTTTGTGTATAGAAACTAGGTTTATTTCAAAATAGCGCACATGCGCATACTTGAAATACTGCACAGGTGTGTGCTATTTCGTAGTAATACGGTATCTTTTCCTAGAGAGTATAATTTTTCCTTTATTAAAAGAACAGCAATTTACTGGCTATGTGAGACCTTCTTTTTGGTAAGTAATAAACTCTAAACTTGTTAGCAAATAGTATATAAAAACTATTTCTAAATAACAAGTGCTATTGTTTTGCAGTGAGTGATAAACTCTGGGCTGTTAGCAGATAACATATAAGAACTATCTCTAAATAATAGCTGCCAACTTATAGCTTTCTCCTAACTTATAATGCTCCTAAGTGTATACTTGTTATATATTTAATAAATAGTTTTTCTAAAAAATTTTGGTAAAAGTAATCTTCAGAAAGAGTTTTAAAAATTTAAAAAATTAAAAAATTATAATAATTTAAAAATTCAAAATATAGTAATTTAATTGTCAAATATAAAGTATGGGTTATACAGATTATATAACTTTAAATTTTATATAATCTAATAAAAGTTTATATAAAAGACAAATTTTAAATAATCTAACAAAAGTTTGTATAAAAGGCAAAATTTAAATATTATATAACTATCCCTTAAACTGTTTTTCAGACAAATTTGCCTGGAATTTTAAAAGTATTTACAATTTTATAAATAAAATTAAAAAATATTAATAATATATATAGAGTATATTTTATATAAATATTGTACCTCAGACTAATACTTGCCTTGGAGCACAGCTGATGCTTCTCAGATGTAGATTGTTAGATGAGATGCATAACTTATCGATCAGTCATTACTTACAGAAAAAAATATGCATAGAATAAAATGTATTATTGAAGTTGAACGTACTAAGAAGACTTAAACAAGAAGAGTATGCAGAGAAAATTTAGAAAAAAACAACAATTATATGTATAGAAAAAAAGTGCATATTAAATAAAAATAGAATATACTACAAAAATTTGGAAAAAGAAATTTAAAGAAAAAAATAGAGGTGCTAGACACTACCAATAAGAAAATGCCAAAGAGATTCAAAAAAGCAAGAATAAAAAAGGCATCTAATTCAAAAGCCTTTTATTTAATTTATTTTAATTTCTTATTTTTGTCAGATTGCAGTTTAGATAATAGATCAATATGTAGTTTACGCACCTTATCTGACGATCTAAATTAGAGGTGTGTTAGCTATGATCTGAGACAAGCATTAGTCTAAGGTTCAATATATACAATAGTATATTTAGAGTAGAAGATAATATATAACGATCACTTGATTTTTTACTAGTAAATTTTCTTAGATAGTACAAGATTTTTTTAATGTTAATAGTGAGATTTGCTTTTATCTTTATTAAATTTAATCAAAATTTCTTAGTGCTAAGAATAAGAACTCAGACTAACTAAAATACCCAATAGACAAGCCTAGTTGTTTATCTGTGGCCTAAACCAACCAGAATAGCCAAGGCTTATCTAGATTCAAGTGTTAGTAATAATATGAGATGAGTGTATTAGATATTTGATCTAGTAGATATACTATGCTTCAATTTTATATAGAGGATTAATTAAGTTAGATTCAGTATTTGGTTAATTAAAGGTATTGAATACATCAGGGGTATGTGTAGAAGAAGGTAAAAATGAAGTTGTATAATCAATTTGTGATCTTGATATACAATAGAAGATCTATATTTTTATATATTTGATAATTAATTTCAAGAAAAAGTTCAATAGTAAGAAATGTTGCTGTTTTGCTAGATGCTTAATGTGTTAATAATATCAATTGGTATCAAGCCAGAGAGTGTAAAAACTAAAAAAGGTTTATAAGTAAGTTGGTGAGCTTGATAGTACAAGATTTTTTTAGATAGTACAATATAGAAAAAATATAGATTTAATTGATGTGCTATTGTAAAATAATTGATTAAATAATTACTATAAAAAGTAATTTGTATACTCTCTACTCTTAAAACATATTCTATATACTTTATTATACAAATTTTTTAAATTTATTATAAATCTTTAGAGTAATAATAATTTAAAACTCTTGTTTTAAAACTTTTACTATAAAATTTTTTTTAAGTTTTCTAAATTTTTATATGTTTTTGTCTTTAAAAAAAAATTTATTTCTAATACAAGTCTTAATTTTTATTAAAATCACTAAAGGTGTAATAATGAAAGTTGCTATCTTTTATATAAATTAAAAACTATAGGTATAAAATTAATATTAATAATTTATGCCTAATTTTTTTGGTTAAAAATTTTCTAAATTTGTCTATATTTAGCTTATAAGTAATCTAAACTTTTTTTCTTATGATATAAAATTAAATACTACTAAATATGTACTTATTTTTAAATATTATCAAAAATTTTTTATTTAAATATTTTAAAATTTAAAAAAAAGTAGATTATAAGCATATTTATAGAAAATTTGCCTGAAATTGCTCTATAGTTTAAGGAATAATATATATTTGGCAATTAAATTACTATTAGCTTTATATATAGCACTATAGCCATAATTTAAATTTATATATAATATTACACATAACTCTGGCTATACCAACACTCTCTAGCAATAGAAAAATTGTCGATATATCTAGATGTTAGCTTAACAAGTATCTCTTTTTATACTAATATATATAGATAAAATATTAATGTGTCAGTTTAGCCAGCATAAGGCTGTTTGAAATTAATTTTTCAGTTAACATTATCCCTTCTTTTTTCTCTTAATGCCCCTAGTAAAATAAACATATAAAAAAAAGTAAAAAATTAAAAGAATACCATATAACCACGAAATAACGCAATAGGTGTGGTTTTAAATTTATGCTTAATTTAGACCAAAATTTGAAATAACTCTCTATATGATATTTAGTGATTATA